TATGTTTACCTTCATCCAATAACTGTTGTACATATTTTGATGTAACACAAGATGGCTGTTGTACTCTTTGACTTGATATATTATCTAGGAACTTGACTAGAGAAATACAAGATATTTTGATAAGAAAATGACACATTGAATAATTTCAATTATATTTTAAGGAATCAGTCTTAAAAAAGAGCATAGATGTCCTTTAGGTATGGTTTAGTTTTTTTAAAAGCATCTATTGTGCTATGCCCTCATGAGGGCACAGGAAGCCTGAACAAACTAAAGACTAGCTGCAAAGGTTTTTATTCAATGCAGTTGTTGTTGTTTTTATTTATTTTTTTCTTCAAACTTTTTTATCAAATTGCCATCCATTTGAGTTATATATAGCAGCAACTTATTAAACGGTATGAAAAYACTGAAAAACAACAAAGCAATCCTTTATGTGTATTAAAGAACAAACCTTGGCTTCCAAATAAAGTTGTATCRATGCTTGAAGTTGTAGAGACTTTCTTGTAACTGTTGAACAACCTAATTTTGAGTAAAATAATCCAATTAATTCATAGAGATCCTGAATTGCGCTTGTCTACCTCACGGTCATTATGTCTGTTTCAGATTATTAAGGCTACTCTAGAAATTCATGTGTAAGGAAGAAAAATTTGCACTTTGATATTGGAAGCTATGAGAACTGTGAGTGAATGTAAAAATTATACAAATATGTGACTTACATTCTTTTACTGGGCATAAAACGTATGTTCCTGGCATGAACAAAAATTCCATGACCAAGTTGACAACTGAAGTACTGTATTCCCCTATATAGACCACTATTACCACCACTAACTGCAAAATAATCAATAAAAGATTATCATCACTTTGGAAGCACTATACACCACAAGAACCCACACTACACTATGGTAACTTTGCTCGACCAAGCTTGTCATATTAATAAACATTGGTCTTGTCTTTTCTGACATCAACACCTGATGTTCAAATCATTACAAGTGTAAATAAATGAATTTACTAGTTCGCCTGATTGATATGAATGTACCTTTCTTTAAGAAAAATCTAAATAGAGGTCTACTCATTAACACTTGGTTCCCGGGATAAAGTTTCCCGGGAATTGTTTACGAAAGTTGTACATCAGATTATTCAAGATAAACAAGACATTAAACAAGGATAGAAAAGGCATTCATTAAAATCAATATTTTTTTATTAATGACGAATTTTTAGGTCAAATGTTTAATCAAAATCCATCAAGATAAGTTTGTTACCTGCTCGATCCAGTTCGACTCCAACCCACTCTCCAGATCGACCAACGAGAACACCGGTATATCTAACAGTGCCTTCGTAGATCTCTCCTCGCCATAAAGCTTCTATTCTTGCTTTTACATTGATATTTTGGAACAAAACCATTGCGCCAAGGACACCGCGATGGAAGGTTCCATCGAACGCAAATATGGCCGCGCTGCCTCGTTGTGATGTTGTTGCTACGATAAACACGGACCCTAGTAACCGATTGTCTTATATCACAAGTAGCACAGTAAACAATCATTTCTTCTTCATATCGATCAACATGGCACTTCCTTTCCTTCCAGGACAAGTTTTTGACCGAAAGGTAAGCTAAACTATAAGTTGAAATCGTAAATCATAAGTATTTCGTTCTTATTTCTGTACTGGGTGCTTACAAAAGGTTATTTCTTGTTTGTAGATCGGCAAAACTAAATTTCACAAGACTCATCAGTTTGACTATCGAAACGATGTATCTTCTTATGTTGGCGAGGCAAAATGTGGGATAGGTAAGATGTCTTATTATGAAAATCATTATTGTCAGGCATAATACAGCATGAAATTTGAGTAGGCTATGTGTGCGAGGCCAGAGCTGACGGCCGCCATATTTGTTCTAAGACATGATTTTCCCTGCTGTCAAGAAAATGGCATATTATTTCAGAACTAGATGCTTTTCATGATAAAATATTTATAACGAACATCGGAGACTTAAAAAACGACTTTTTTAAAAATTCTTGGAGTATATGAATTTAATGTGTTAATTTTGTTAAATATTTCAGGTGGAGATCCATTACCAGGGCAAAAGCTCAGCCCAAAACACAGTATTTTTCCTAAGGGAGTTGGACCAGAAGCACCGTCTTGGGTTGCTTTTGACAGACAGGTTTTATGTTTTGATGCATACTTTCAAGAAGCTGTTCATGAGAAGCGGGAAGAGCAATACAGAATAAGAAGGTAAGCGTTGTTATGCATGCAAATTCAATTTTCCTTGCTTTGGTTACCTACACCATTAAGTTAAGCTTATATAAAGCTAAGTCTTGTTAGAAGTGTTCGGTCTATTTTTATTCACGACCATTCATCTGTTAATTTTCAGGTGTAAAATATATTTCTACCTTGAAGATGACAGTATTCAGGTTATTGAACCAAAAGTTGAAAACAGTGGTATACCACAAGGTATAGAACAAATATACATTTTTATCAAGAGAGAGAAGTTCCAAATCAATGACACATCCTCTATAAACATGGTATACATACACGCAAAAATTAATAATCAATTGTTTGCTTATAAACAGGAACACTTCTCCGACGTCATCGAATACCTTTACCTGCACCATACGATGAGCAATTTTACACTGTAGAGCATTTCAATGTTGGAAAAGAAATATCATTTTATTCCAAAGTTTTCAAGATCACAGGCTGTGATGAGTTTACTCATAACTTTTTGAGAAAGTTAGGAGTAAGAGTCAATAATTCATCTCAGATCCCCTCTGACCCTTATACAAGTCATCGTGAAAAGGTTTGCTTACTATAAGTTAATTATTTATATATTGCTATTTACAGTTTTATTGTGAAGAGTACACAAATTGGATTTGGCTTATGCTTATAGATAGAAAAAATGATAAACTCAAGGCGCACTTACCTTCATATTATACAATCTTTTTGTTTTTGCTTTGAAAATTATCTTTATGATAAATAAATCCTACCAAAATAATCTGAAAAACAAATTAAAACAGCACAATTAGATGGAAAAGAATGTGCCTGATATATTCTCCAAGACAGCTGTACTGTATGAGAAAGTTTTTGCAAAGGATTTTGAATTCATGTATTCCTTTAAGCAGATCACAAAACACAAATACCATAGTATTTTGGTTTCTGCACTCTGACTTTATTTATTATGTATAGCCTTCTAAATTGTTGTTTTCTTACTTGCAGTTGGTTGAAAGTATGCAACCACTGAGGCCTTATGAAAAACAAGATACTCTCAAACAGTTTCTCCAGTATGACCGTAGAGTTCTACGATTCTATTGCTTGTGGGATGATACAGATAACATGTTTGGCGATGCTCGTGAAATGGTKCTTCACTACTTCCTGGCTGATGACACCATTGAGATTCGTGAAGTGATTCCTGCAAACTCAGGTCGTGATGCTGCACCAATGTTTCTCCGCCGTCAGAGATTACCCAAAGTAAGAGCGGTGTAATCTTTATATTTAGATAAGATTCTAGATGGGAGTTTATGGGAATACCACTCCATTTTGGGAGAAAACAGTGGATTCTWGTTCCAAAGAGAGAAAACACCAGTTGTAACATTTGCTACAACATTACCTTTCAGGAGCCAGTTTCATTGCGTCAACCTGGGGAGATTACAGGTCGTACAGTGCTGAATGTGTTTGGGCCAATGGGTCATGGTGGGCGATGGATTCTTGATAGCTTAAAGGTGAGCAMAATATCTGCATTACATGAATCCTTGGGAAATTTCAGGAAAGATCATTATCTTTCAACGATAGCAAATAAAAAATTATTGAGTTTTCTTACCAATAGTACTTATCATTTCTTGTGAAAATTGTTTTCAATTTCAGACTGGTGCTGTTCACACTGATTATTACCTGGACAGTGACTTGACTATTGGCACCTTCATCAATGTATGGGGAAGGAAATTCCAGATTTGTGACTGTGATGACTTTACTAAAGATTTCTATGCCAGCAAGTATGGACTAGGTAAGAAARAGTCACTGGCATTAACAAATTGTGTACTTGAAGTCTAAAATAGAGTGCTTTATATTGAYTAGTTATTTCTTCACAGAATATGTTTTTCCAAATGAAACAATCAACTTGTTCATCTAGAATTATTATATTTATATTGCTGTTTCTATTTTAATAATATTGTTTCTGTTTAAGACTCCTTTGACTCTATCAAGTACAAAGCACCACCAGGCGTCTTTCCTCAACGTGAAATCCCACCTTACAATGGTTTTGGATCTGAAGAAGATTCTCTCTGCTCATGTCTTAGTCTCATTCCAAAACCACCAAAAAGAGACTTCATCAAGTTCATGGAAAAAGACAGGTATCAATATGAAACACACAATGAAATGTATGCATTCACTAAGCAACATGTGTTCAGTAGACAACTTAAAGACATCTAAAACAGCTTCATAAGGGAATAAAACAAGACAGACCTGAATTGCTCATGCAAGTTGTAACTATTTTTCAGAGATGGTCTAGAGAGTAATGTCCTCAGGTTCATGGGACGTCTCAACACAACTCGTCCCATTGACATGGATAGAAGATTTATTATCTCCTATTTCCTATCTGATGATACAATCCTTGTRTTTGAACCACAACAAAGAAACTCTGGAATCCTTGGTGGAAAATTTCTTGAGAGACGRCGTATCAAAAAAGGAAACCAAGACTATTACTATAGTGCTCAGGTAAATGCAAATATTGAATTTTTGAATGAGATGAAACCAAGACTGTGGTTTAAACAGCATTGATCAGAAATAAATTGAGTGCATTCAACCCCGGCAACAAGCGAAAAATATTTTCATCTTTTACATTATATTTTCCTGATCCTGAACATGGGGATGGCAAATAATAATTATTTGCTTAATTATTAAGCTCAACACATATGTTGGTGGTAAAAAATCTGAGTTAAAAATGAGACAACAGCAAAAATGAGAACCAACATTTCATAAGTCCATAAAATTCACCACAACCACTACGTTTGCAGGTTGTATGCTCATGTGTTATCTCTTTAATAGGATCTATACATTGGTGCTCTTGTTCAATTCTACAAGCATGAATTTGTCTTGATTGATGCTGAYGAATATGCTGTGGAATACATGGAGAAACATAGCAATGAGTTCATTCAAGCGAACATCAAGTACATCCTTCCTAAGCTTAAAGGAATTGCTGACAATCACTATGAAGACCTGAAAGCAGTATTCAATGAGTCTGACGACAAGGGAACTGGCCAACTTTCCTTTGAAGTATTCTGGTAAGCTATGGCAAAAATAGCCCATTTTAAATGTTTTGATAAAGCTGGTCATGTATCAAAAAATTTGTAGACAAGGCTCTGGAAATAAAAGAAGATTGGCCATTGTTTCCCCAGAGACTTTTCTGAAATTCTTTTGTACATGTTTACTCAACCAAAATATCTTRAGTCTGCAATTTAAGATGCCATAATTGATTTTACCGTGCCAATTTTAGGTCAGTGCTGAAGAGATTTGGCAGCAATTTGTCTGAACATGAGATGCTGACRATCTGCAGATATTATACTGAAGCTAAGGTAGGTAGTAGTCATTTGGGCCTCCTGTGCTTTATGACACAGGTAATCCAGGCCATATCATTTTAATCAAAAAAATTCAGGTATTAACAAAATTCACAATAATGTCATATTTGATTATTCTTGAGTGTAAAATGRGAGGCAATCCTTCATAATTGCATCGATTTCCCAAAGGTGATTGACAGGTCAAAATATCCAGTTGCTTTCTTCATAGTAATATAATAGTAAAAAGTGCTTGTTGTCTTATTTAAGTTTTTTGAATTTGTCCTGTGACAGGCCTTAGATGATAACATGACAATGGTTATTGCATCCGTCCAAGAACAACTTAGAAAAGCAAACTTTGAGGACTTCACAGCSATGAAAGAAGCTTGTCAATATGAAGACATTCAAAGGTAATAATGCGCAGTCTGTATAAGTTCGGRTTAAAATTCACATTGGTGGCAATTGAAGCAAGACTAATACCAAAGCATTATAGCTTATACTTACCACAACGATTCAATGCCAAAGTCTAGAGAATAATAAAAATTGAAATATCCTGTAATGAAATATCCTGTCATTGAAATATCCTGTAATGACAAATTTTATGATATTTCATTCCAGCTCTGGTTACCTACCAGCCAAAGACATCCATAATCTATGCATGCGATTCAAGGTGCCAGCCAAGCAGGAGCTCCTAGATAATGTACTATCAGGGACCAGTACAAACCAAGAGGGACTGACTGATTATAATCAATTCCTGCAACTTATCAACTGGAGGGATTCACCAGGTAATGACTAGAAACGAAGAAGAGACAAAATGCGGGAGTATTAAAACTGATGAAAAAAGGGAGAAGTTGAGGAGAAATTTGCGAAATGAAAAGTGGTACATTTACGATTGTTGATAGTGTCCCGTGGCCTAATAGCTCACTATCTAAACACAAAGTTGATGTTATTTTAGAGTCTGATTCATTAAATATCGTTTCCTTGCAGTGAGTCTCCAGAAATTCGTTCCCGTTCAATCTCCAGAAGCCAAACCATCGGTAAGTTKGTAATCACAAGTAATTTAGAAGTACACAACGTGTACCCCTAATTGAAGAMAAAATTRAGTCATAATGTATAGACAGTGTGTTACACTTGACACGCAAAGTCTTCTAAGTTTGAAACTTGAATTGCCCAATCAATAGCGTAACGCATTTTCGAATATTTTAACAGTTTGTTAAACTATTAAATACTCCTTGAATTTTGCAGTCAATCGAGTACAACAGTCTTGAACTGCAAAAAAAACAACAACAACAACAACAACAACAAAAATGATTAACAAACAACAACAAAACAAACCTACATGTATGCCCTTTTATTATCGTCTAATAATATGCTATCTCTTGTCTTATCTATGTCGCTTGATATCTTATTCAGGAGCGTGTTGGTCCCAAAGAAAGAGTTCGACGTATCAACTACAAGAGCTTACTCCAAGATTTGCTTCAATCAGAATAGAGAATATATAAATATTATCATTGATATTATATTATGGTTTCACTTTGCTCTGTGTATCGTTAGTATCTCTTGCAAGAACCTAAACTATTTTTTATTTCTGGATTAGATTTGTAAATAAGAAAGCACCTCTAAATATGCTGTGATATTTGTAATGTAGCWATACAAGAATTCAATAAAGATATCATGGAAATGATTCCTGAATTTTTTTAACTTGAAAATGACAGAATGTCGTCTGYCTTTTATCTCACTTCTTTTCTATCTTCTCATTTATTTCTCTTCTTTTTCTTTTTCTCGGTCTACGCTTTAGAATATTTTAGTATAGTGCGMCATATTGTTGTGCACCGCATGTACCTTTGAAACAATGTGGTYACCTCGGAAACATCGCACTTTCTCCAAAGCACGCAATTGGAATATCGGAAACGTCTTTTAGGGACGGTCCATTTAACTTTTGATAGGGGGGGGGGGGGGGGGGGGGGGTTGGATGATTTCTTGTGAGCAAGATTTTTTTTTTTCTTCGTGGCTTTTGGGTAGGATATATTTTTTTTGCTCTTGGTGGTGTGTAGGATTGTTTTTTTTCTTGTATGTGACATTTTTTTGGGCTTAGGGTGGTGCAAGATTTTTTTTAGGTCCAAATGTTGTGCACGATTTTTATTTTTGGTGAAGATGGCTTGCAGGATTTTTTTTTTCAAAATCATCCACACCCCCACACCCCCTCCCCCTCCCACTTTGAAATTACTGGAGTGGCTACCTGAAGAATGCTACATTCATGACAAGACCATAGTTGCGTCAAAATGATCGAAGCGAAAATAGTTGAAACGTTGTCGAGAAGCCTGTTCTTTTCGAGTGTTCTTTTTTCATTCTAGTTTGGTTGGGATACTGAAGGCCTATCAACTCGTACTCCACTCGACGTCGCGGTGTAGTTATTAATAATACCWCTCGATATTTATCGCCGGGGGGCTCGGCAGTGTGGYTATTTTTGTTATCAGTAAATTGCCTCACGGAGAAAACCGTTGTATAGCGACATAGAAATTTTAAGGTTATTTTGTTGGTTTTCGATGTGAGTTTTTCTGCGATTTATTCATAGTGTAAAAATACGTAAATGAATAAAAAACACACTTTTATTAGGCGGAAGCGTGTATRTAAAGCTCTTACTGAGATGAAGCAATGAGATTTTGCGTTCAATAGTAGTGGGTAGACTGATTAGTCCGTTCTCTACTAATTCTGATGTAGTCCAGCAGYCACGATTGAATGATTGAAAATTCTTCACAAGTCAGTTGCGATACTAGGATTTTTCTCGGATTTTTGCTGTCTTTATTCAGCTCGTATATATGTTAATATTACGATTGAATGACACGTCGTCCTGATCCGTGACGTCACCAAGGATCAATGGCAACGTTCGACTTATTCACAAGCATGCACGAAATTAAAATTCATTTTTGACAACAGTCAACACTGAAAATTGTTATTGTGCACCGATGGCGATCAGCTCTGATATTATACTTCAACTTATTCTTCTCGTTCTTCTTACTGCAAATGTTTGGATATTGATATACGGTAAAGGTTTTTGTATTCTTTTTTCTGCTTCCATTCAGTTTTATAAATGGATGGTTGAGAAAGGGAGTAACGTTCTGCAGCCATAAATTACATTATTTCTTGCTCAAGTACCGAATTTCGTTTATAGACGATAGTGGTATAAAAAATATAGCTCATATTTTTATATATGATATCAAAGAGGCAAGATTTTGCTGTAACTCCGAGTTTCGTGCTACGCACTCATCAAATACTTCCTGATGAGTGCGTAGCACGAAACTCGGAGTTACAGCAAAATCTTGCCTCTTTGATATCATATTTATACCTTGTAGCTCTCCACTTTATGTGTATTGAGCACTCTTTAATGGGATCAGCCACTTCCTCATACGATTAGCTTATATTTTTATATATTTTTAACTTTAATAGTTATTAGTCAGTTTACATAGAAAAGAATTAATTAGAAGCCCGGAAAAATATAAAAAGAAAAGAAAAATTAGAAATTTCTTTTAGAACGTTCTGGTTTAACWTTTCTGGGAAAACACGAATATGCGTTTTCTACGGGAAAGGGTATAAAGGTATAACCACAGGTGGTACTGTATTGTGTCCTAAGTTGCGATTGCAAGGCGCGTTTTCTTGAATGATGAATGCAGAGATCTTCTGTACAAATATAATAAATTTCGGGGAATTTATTATAACAAAGGATTACGTATGTTTCATCGTCTATATTAAAATTGCCTTTTACAAGTTGAGTGTACACTTGTAGAAGTTAGGACGGGTATGTCGTGACTTTTAGTAATTGGTAAAACAGAAAAAGCTTACACTAATTATCAGTGTTAAACTTCCAACAGTGGCCACACTCGTACTATTTCTTTAAATATTCAGCATGCTGCTAAAGGAGAATTTTCAACGATTAATCATTCTATAGTATATCATGTAGGACCTTGTAAAGCAAAGGAGTGCATGTGTGTAAAAGAAGACCACAGGCACAGAGTGAGCGTATCTTGTTTATATTTCAATGCATGCAGTGTGACTGATAAATGATTTATTCAACAGATGATAAGGTGCCACACTGTTTACATTTACACAAAGAAGTGGAGTCAGACCAATCCAGCAATTGTGACAGGTTTTCGGTGCTTACGCCGGACAAATGTGCTTCCGTACTTAAAGGCGTGGATAGCCGTCAAGGTCTGGTTCTTGGTAAACGCCGAGAAAACAAAGGTAAACATATACAAAGGCCGCGCCTAGATTAGATGACAAAATTACCAGCTCATAAAAGCCCCTGAAATCTGATATTGATTTAATTTTGCATCGTGTGATATGGGAAGGGTATAAAAGCTAAAGCGAAAGAAAGGAGTGTATAGCAGACAGTCATGGCTTTTTTAAAACTTAGACGATCATGRGAATCGTGAAGTCGGRCTACMGCAATTGTTCGTTTGAGYTGAGGCACACTCGTGTTACATTAGATATTTGTGAATAAAAGTTTCTGAATATGATTTGTCGAAGACTAGTGATATGGTGTTTTGCTTTCAAAACACAAGACACAAGAATGGTGTACTTTCATTTCTWAACGCGACATGACATTGAGATACTATATAATACTAATACTAATGTTTGCCTTTACAGTTTTATTGACATTGGGCGTGGCAGTCTGGGAAGATCACATGAGTGATATTCAACCATTCCTGTCATCCGTTATTAAACACKTGACACCTGAAGATTCCAATGACATCACCATAGTAATATCAGTTACCCCTAAGCACATTGAAGTCGTGACAAAACTACTAAAGGAGCAATTTTCCTCACACCTCGACTCTGGCCTCGTACATCTTATATCACCATCAGAGGGCTATACCAAGGTATTCACGAAACGCCCTCCCCTCGGTAATCGCAATTTGAAGGATTTTTCAAAGGATTTCGCTGATAAAATGATCGACTTTAATAAAAACATAGGTTTTCTCTTATATTATGGAACTCACCTGTCGGAATATACACTCCATCTCAATGATAAAAGTATGGTTACCGAGAGATTTTTACCTGTTGTAAAACAACACATTGATCGTTACAAGAACGGTACGCACTTTGCGTTAACTTTCAACGGAATGTGGTTAATGCATTCGAGCGCCATGCACAATTTGAACGAGTTCTACGCCATGTTTGGAAATCACGCGACACCAGCTTTGATGCAAAAGTATCTTTCGGTGAGACAATCCCATAATATTCTGGTGGACACGCAAAGTGAGACATTTTCCTTGAAGTCAATTGAATGCAAACGACCGAAGTCTTCATTAGAAACAAACATGTTGGGATACAAACGTCCATTTGCGCTTTTCTGGGCCGCGACTCCGAAGAATAACGATTACCTACAAATAACCTTTGATGATTCGATTAAACTATCAAATGTTCAAATAGTGGCAGGGACACCTATTTTCGCAGACTTGCCAAAAATGGCTTTGCTTAAAGCGTGTGCCGCCACCGTTGATAAAGAGTTATGTAACACTTCCAGCTGCTACCAAGTAACGACGCTGGGAGATCCCTTACAGAACATAATGGGCTTGGAGAATATCATAGGATTTCATGTGAAATGCCTTAGACTGGAGTTCACGGAAGAAGCCGAGAAGTGGGCCATGATTCGTGATATTGCTGCATGTGTGCAGTAGCCCCTATAACAAAGATCTCCTTATAGTATAAAAATCTGCTTATCTTGTAGATGGAGAAATGTAAAGTAAAAACTGACACTAATGATAATAATAAATTTATATTGAAGGTTCTCAAAAAGGCTTAGCGCAGGACAAGAATAGTGAGGATGTTAGATTCGATGTTAGATAGATTTCATGTTATTTTCACATAATTACATTAAAGGTTTTTTTAAAAAGATTAAGATGTTTTTTAAATTGGTAAACCGAGATCAGGTCCTTAACATCTTGAAACATTGTCTACTTTTTGAAGCTCTGTAACTGGAAGTTCTCTGGATTCAAATCTCGTAGCCCGCCCTTGTCTACAGGTACAATTCTCTCTCGAAGGAAGGGGGGGGGGGGGGGGGGGGGGGGGGGGGGGGGGGGGGGGGATTGGGGCGGAGCGCTTTGAATAGTCTATGTGACTCAATGTTCCACGTAGTTTAGTGACGTAGTTTTAGATTGTTGTAGCATTTGAACACCATAACAAGCTCTTGTGATAAAGGACGCGTCCGTATTTCTTTGAATTACCAAGGATCTTAAAAGTACGTACTAGACTTGTGGGGTTCTTTAAGTTTTGATTATACACCATACAGGGTCCGAAGCGTTCCCGGATTCCGGATTCCAAGCTTCTGCATTTCGGATTCCAAAAAAGATTTCGTAAGGATTCTGGATTCCACAATTTCCTAGATTTTTTATCGTCAGTAATTCGTTTACAAACATTTGAAGTCACTGAATTCCGGATTCCTCCTGTTTTATCCGATTCAGCTTTGTATCCACCAGTTTATTTCTTTTATTCTAAGTTTTGTTTACAAAATTTTGGCGATTGAACGATAATATCGATATAGCACATACAGTTCCTTCATACAAATACTTAGTTTGGGTTACCTGTGCGGTTACTGAAAAGTTTACGAGTGTCACGCTTTACTAGTAACGCTTTACAAAATCAAATGATTATCATGTGACTGCGCAGCTCAGGCTGGCTCACAGTTTCTACTGCTGCTACTGGGTTAAAACCAACATATATCTTCTCCAAGCCAAAAAACAATCTATTAATATGGCAAGGGATGCATTGTCTTTGATGAGCTTCGCAGTACTCTGTGCAGTCTTTGTGAATTCAGCTTTAGCCAAGAACATTACCGATTACAAAGATTGTGGCTCAAAAGGTGCAACAATTGTTAGATTGGACATATCGCCATGTGAAGAAGAACCTTGTAATTTTAAAACGGGTACAACTGTGACTGGAACACTTACTTTTGTCGCCAAAGAGTACTTTACAAGTGGTCGAGTAAAAGCTTACGCTGTTATAGAAGGTGTAGATCTGCCTCTACCAATTCCTACCGATGCATGCCAAGGTTATGGCCTCACTTGTCCCATCAACAATGGACAGACTGCAAATTTTGTCATCAAACAAGAAATCCAAGCTGATTTTCCAAAAGTGAAACTGCAACTTAAAGGAGAGGTGATGGATCCCCAAGGAAACATGTTATTTTGCTTTGAAGTTCCAATTCAAATTTCTTCATCGGCAAACTCTGATAGTATCGACTATTAACAGGCTCTAAAAGGTTACTGGAGTCACATGACATAATGGATGATGTTGGTCACACTTGTTTTAATTTACGCGTCACGAAGATTTAAATACAATATATATTATTATGGTGATGTAGAGCATCATGAAAATGAAAAGACAAATAGTTATTAGAGGGAGATAAATTAAAATAAATTAAAATTAAATACAGTACCAGTTTGCTTTTGATATACATAGCGAGTTCTTGTTTACCCATTTGATAAACTATATATATCAGTTGAATTCCGGCATATAGCGTGATGGCTGGTACCCGTAATGTAAAGATATTTCAGAAAACGTTGATTCATGTTGATTAGGGAAGATAGTGTATTCCAAGACCGAAATGCATTCTTGGAAATTCTATCGGGTTGGGGTTGAGATTCGGACGTGTTCAGATATTGTATATATATTTTATTGGTAAGTAATCGTCTGTAAGATGTGCCTGTCCTGGGGCGGGGACCCACGCATCGAAGACATCGAAAAGATTTGCTYTTTATTAAAATAATTTCTGGATTGAAATGTTGCTTTTGAGATGGCTCGATATTCTTCTGTGATCTAAGATGCTATTGCGCCATGTCCGAATAAGTTCTTGAGCAATACATGCATTGCTTGTTTTAGCTCACTTAAGATTGCAAGCCGATATATACCTTTGTACTACGTCAATCCCGATTTAGAAAATGCCATCTTTTCTTGGCATTGCCAGAGGTCTGTTTTATTGTGCAACGGCACCACCTACATTATCGATCATGCAGCCTATGGGCCTGAAAATGCGCGCCTATTGTGGAATGTTTTGAAGAAAAATACAATGATGAAAATACATTGGGTTTTGCCGAGTCATTGGTAGCCTCGTTTTGGTGTTTTTGTGCATCTTCTTATAACTTCAAGAGGATGTAATATTTTTCTGTTAAACTTTCTGAACTTATCTTTAGCTTTGATATCTATCATCTGAGTGTTTTCTTTTGTCAACATTATGAATTCAATTGTGAATTTATCGATAATATGCCTAATTAGTGTCGACCATAAAGTTGTCGATATTTGTTGATGGTTTGTTGTTGCTGTCCTAGTTTTGAGAGCTTGTAGGTGTGATGCATTAGAAAAGTCCCATATTTTTAGCAAATGGTATGGAACATGACAAAGCATTTTCTATTATCACGTGCACAGGCACGTGCCCACCATGTGAATTATGCAAGACCTCTTAACCAATCAGGGTGATTTATTCAGTTTACGTGTAGTCACGTGAGTATGTGATATAATCGACTAAAGACTTGGCAAGCATTCAATCTGAGTTTCTGCTTCAACAGTGATTGAACAGAAATTTATTTCAACAAAACTCTAACTTTTCTTCGAAGTTAAACCGGATTTTCAACTCCATCTAAAGCATCAAGATGTCTTTGTGCCGTCAAAACTATCACGAGGAGTGTGAAGCTGGCGTGAACAAGCAAATCAACCTCGAGTTGTACGCTAGTTATGTCTACATGTCCATGGTAAAATATAAGCGTAGCACAACTCGGTTACGACATAACAATTCGATTGAAGTTAAATTTTTCTATTCCAGGCCTACCACTTTGATCGCGATGATGTCGATCTCCGTGGGTTCCACAAGTACTTTAARAAGGCCTCCGATGAAGAACGTGAACATGCTGAAAAGGTACGTCAAAACTAAGGTCTTTTGTGTTTGTCAGCTCCCTCAACGTTGTTGTCGAGGAAGAATTTGCTGAATGTACTCTTTTAGGAACTATACAACCTTAAGATCAAATCTTTAATTTCTTTAGCTCATGAAATTCCAAAACCAGCGTGGAGGACGCATTGTACTTCAAGAAATCAAGGTAATTGTTTAGAAAGCTTGTTTCAAGCTTGCAAGTGCAATTTCTTGTTCCCTTTGCCGCCATGTTGTTCTTGTCGCAGGGTGGTGTTTGATTACGTAATGACAAAGTATAGAGTGCAAAAGCTTTTTTGTCTCACTGCCAAAATTGCTGCCAACAGTAGCTTTATGTAAGCATTTTTCTTGGCAAAGTATTTGTCCATATAAAATTTTCGAAATTTGTTCCAGTTATGGAGATGTCGACGGTCTAAATGTACGTGTCTCATTATCATATTTCTTTTCATGAGATATTCGACAAATATATTACTGCAAGAAGATTAGAATTTTGTTATAACTTAGTGTTAGGTAAAAAAAGGGATTTTTATGAAAATTTGATCAKAGAAGTTAACAATTTTACAAGATTTATGAAATGTCAGCTGTATGTCCATTTTACCAATGATCCTCTTGTTCACATTGATAGAAACCAGAATGTGATGAATGGGGCACTGGCCTTGATTCTATGCAGACTGCACTTGATTTGGAGAAGCATGTAAACCAAGCTCTTATTGACCTTCATGCTGTTGCAGAGAAGCATGGTGACAACCAGGTAATTATTACTTTCATGTTTATTGCAGTACTTCATTCCTATCTGAGTTTATATATATAAATATATAAACTCAAGGGATGATTAATAAATAACTATGGAACTTCTACATTATCATTTTCTTCAAAAGAGAGATGTTTGCTCACTTCTTTGCCATAATTATCCAGATGCTAGTCACTGTGCGCTAATGCTGCATTTCATACATAAGCTTGATTGCAAATCACACAACTCTTCTTCTCAGATGTCTGACTTCATTGAAGGAAACTTCCTTACAGAGCAAGTGGAGGCCATCAAAGAGATTTCTGGATATATAGCTAGTCTTAGGCGGGTGGGCCCTGGATTGGGAGAATACCAGTTTGATCGCAAAACTCTTTCTGAATAGATTGTAAAGCTAATTCAGCATCGTAATGAATAAAATCGCTTGTGCTAACATCACAGCTTTCTTGTCTTTGTTCATAAAATAATCATCTTTTAAAAGTTTCAGTGCTTTAAACATGAACATTCTATGATTGACCCCCTTGTAATGTGTGTTAAAACTTGTTGTATAATATTTGTATCAGATGCAAGATTTCCTTGAGGCTAATTACTTGACTGAGCAAGTTGAGGCTATCAAAGAGCTTGCAGGACATGTAACCAACCTCAAGCGTGTTGGCCCAGGACTGGGAGAATACCAGTTTGACAAGGAAACCCTTGATGACTAAACTGTGTTATTGCCTGTCTTGATGAACTGGATTTGACCTGAGCACTTAAACAATACTGATTTGCTATAAACTTTATACTTGCATTTAAAGCAGATTTTTGTTTTTGTTTTTTTTTAAACCACCCAAAGCTGTTTTAATCATAAATAAAGATAGAGCATTACATTTTGTTCTGGTTGTATTTTATTGTCTTGTTCAATTCAGTCCCAGCAAGCACCTTAAGAACTTGCTTGATATTTGGTGGAAACAGAGCATCAGTTGTTTCCTGCAAGTAAAAAGACTGTCCTATTCAACTAATTTTCTATTCTTCACTCACAAAAACCTAAAAAGTAAAAAGTTTTAATGAATTTTATTTATAATTTTTGACATTGAACTGAGTTATGGAGTTGTAAATTCACTTCTTATTGTCCCCATGAATCATTGCGTTTTCCCCTTTTCGAATCCTTGATCAATACTGTACCAGGAATTAATTCCTTGGAAAGAAAGATCACAAGTAACAATGCACCCAAAAGAAGGGTACCGTCCATCAGAACCTGTCTTGGAAATTGCTTATGAGTACCTGAAGGTTTCTGYATCCACCAACTGACTCGTAGCTACCACAAGAATACTTGCACTTGAAAAGGTTGAACATTTTTGTTGCTCAACTACTGCTTTCCAGGTAACTGGTAAATAATTGTGATATATGATTAATTCTTTTTGTAACAACACTTTTCCAAATGGATATCTACTTGAATGTACAAAAATTATGAAAATAACCAGCCCTGGTGATGTACAAGTACACCTTGTGCCAGCTAGGAATCAGTTACTAGGAAACTTTGCATTCATTTTGTAAGTCGGCTGGCAACTCGGACATAGGAGGCATGTTTGGAAGCCCATCTTGTTCAAATGACATCCCAGGTACCTGGAAATGAATAAATTTGAGTAATCKTCACCAGCAGCTCGCCAAGTTGGAAGGTGATTCAATAATATTAATGTTTCAATCAGTAGCTAGCACATTGTAGCTACAATTGTATCAACTGACACTTGCCTGATTACAAATTACAGATACATAGAAATGGGTTTGTTATTACTGAGGGAGGAAAAAGAAGGACCCACAGAAAAAAGAGCCTTGAAGCAAGGGAGAGAATGAGCAAACTCAAGGCATGTGATATCCCCGCTTGAGAATCGAACTGGGACAGTTTTACCCTTTTGAACTTTTGAATGCCAAGAAAAAAATTCAAATTTTCTTTCATGGGTTTAATCAAGCCCTTCATGGGATTCGCCTATTGGAGGAGGATTATTCATAGAAAATATGGTAATATATCACAAGATATTCAACTTACCATCTTCCCAACAAGWTCTTCAGGAGGTTGTCCACATTCTTGCATCTAGAATTACAAATTAAGCTTATTGACATCACATAMTGAAGGACTCCCAAAAATATGGAGATACTTTGCAATGAAAAGACATATAAGAGCCCAAATTACTAGATTTAAAGGTTGCCATGCAGATATTTGTTGAATAATTATGTAATTCAATGCATATRAATTAAAGAGGATGATACAAACATGTGCATTTTCAAGTTTCATATTAGGAATATTATTTGATAAACCAATATCTCAAAATCAACAATCTCCATGTCATTGATAAACTACTGATTTGAACATAAAACTGCATTTGAACTTCTGTTAAAAATAATATCAAAGGGAATATTATGCATAGTCTATACCTTCTGCATTAAATCCATWATTTTTTCAAATCTTTTCTTTTTTACTTCTTCAGTGTCATCAGGCTKTTCACTTTCGTATTCTTGACAAAGTTGGACAACCATTTCATATTGTTTTGTAAATCGAGCATGTTCTTCATCTGAGTGGCCTGACTTGTTTGCTTCTAACCATGATGGGTACTGAAATTCAAACAATATGATGAATGTTAAAACAAAAAAATCACTGCTTAATTAACTGCAATAGTATTTAGTAAAAACAGTTTGCAGAAGAGACATAAATGTTGAGCCCTGTCTTTGATCAGGAACTCTCAGATATCTATTTCATGATAGATTTGACATTGTCTGGAACTGGATGTGAAGCAAACTAGAAAAATATCTTTGATTTATCTGCACAATTATTAATTACCATTACCTTATCATTTAATTCTTTAAGAGAGGGGTACAAAATATCCTTTGCAAGAAGATTTTTCATCATTCCTTGCATAAGTGGCATCATATCAAATCCATCTCCMCCTTCAAGACCCATCGATGACATGGCTTTAAGAAAATCATCACCRAAAGATGCTGGATCCTTGGAGATAAAATAATTATTATAGTAAATTTGCAAATTTCCTCCCTTTATTTATGATACATTATACTAAATAAACATTCGTCAGTATGTTAGTACAAACGTTAGTTAGTTACTTTAGTATTACAGTAATGATTACGTACCTTTATATCCTGTGCATTCTGTGCCATATCATTCATTGTTTTAGCCAGGTTTTCTTCAAAAGCATTCATTGCTTCTGGATGTTCTGGTGACAAAAATAAATAAATATTAAATAAATTGTATTAATTGCACATACTGGTTGTTTAAAATATAATTTGTCCCCTTGAACATTAATTTAACAGATTTATTAGGATATTCTATAATGATTAGT